CCCCAAAACCCCAAAACCCCAAAACCCCGTCAGGAGGATAATAAGTAATTCTTATATATAATCATAATCAATAGATATTTAACATACATTAGCATCAATTCATCTCAATTATTTGTCTAAGCATGATTTACATTATTGTGATTGAATTTCTATCAATCAGTGTCTTCACAGTCACTCATATTTCCAACGCCAGCACTCTAAGGTGTATGTGGTTCATGATCAACATCTCCTGAAAGTTTGGCTATCTAATTGAAAGCATCCCATGTAATCTTATTAAGTGGCTTCATGTTCTATCTGGCTTATTACATGGGCGGGCCCCTCATTTGATGACCTTTTTGTTTTTCATTATTATTGCTAAGGTTTATGCTGATATTTCCGCTTAAATCCTACTTTTCATATCTGCTATTGCCTATTGGAGGGTTTTGTTTTTTGCTATTGTGGAAATTAGTAATGTTTTAATTCAGACTCAATAGAGATTTTTGTGACTAATTCGCTTAAGTTTTGCATTCTTAATTGGGCAAATATTTATTGATGTTTAGATTGAACATACTAACTTCACTTGTAAACTTATTTTAATTGGCTTTAGTTATTGGACTAGAATTGATCTTATCAATCTTTAAGCCTAAGTAATTTTAATGTTGACTTAGAGAATGCACTCTACCATTAGTTTTCTTTACATTATCCTTCTTATTCAATTCCTATCTTTGATCATTCTATTCATGAATAACGATGCCTAGATTAGACAAATCCTCATTTTCCTCTTCATTTTCTTTCATAATGACTTACTTACTGGTATAGCCCATGTTTACTCCTTATACCATAGATTACACTTTGCCAAATGATTGATAGTTAGATTTTAATTCATTACTGAAATCCTTTGCTTTTGCATCACTCATGTGTTAGCTCACAAGTGCTAAGTTTTAAGTCATGCTTGTTTTGCCAACATTATTAGTTGGCGATACTACTGCTGCCTGACTTCTTAATCTGAAGAAGTCGCCCTTTTTACTATCTCTAAAGTCTATACTCTGGTTTATCACATTGATGTAAGAGGAGCTGTTATGATTATTGCATCCTTCACTTTATGAATTCTACGATACGTAGGAGTCATCATGAATATTTGAGTGGTCTAATTGCTCATGGTTTAAATGTATTTGTGAGTTTGGCTGACCTACTTTACTATCTTCAGCTCTATTATGCTTCTGAATTTCTATCTTACTATTGTTAATATTGATCATTGATTCATTGTGCAAGCTCTCCAGCTAACTATGGTATGAGGAATAGGAGGAACTTTATACAGTCTTGGCTTGAACATGAGAGTAATTCAGTTTAGACTAATTCATAATGTTTGCTTGTTCATTCTCAGCATTGTCATCTCTCATTTATGAAGCTCTAAGCTGATTAAATTGTCCTCCTTTTTTAGCTGCAGGATTTTATGCTACATTATTGTTGGATTTCTTAGGATTCATTCTTGTCACAGTCATCTTAGATGGATATTTTTGGTAGTTTGGCCTGGAGCTTACCCCTGGTTTATTCTATGGGATTCCTGGAAGATAAGCTTTATGATTATTATTTATAGAACTCTGGCCTTAAGAATAGGAATTTAAAGCACTGATGTTATTGCTAGCTTTCCTTGATTGCAGGTTACTTGCTCCCGATTTATATGTTCCTTTGTAGTTAGACTTCTTTCTTGCTCTTCCTATTTGCAGACTTTCTATCTATTTATTTTGCTTAACTTTATTGTCTTCATCAGGTTCAATGTTTTCAAGAACTGGACTGCTTAAAGGAATATTCGTTTCCCCCTTTACAAAGACATTTTGCATTCCACTAGATATTTATCTTTTATGAGACTGCTGAAACCGAGAAAGGGTTTTTGAGATTTGGTTCATTGAAAAGTTTGGGTTAGCATTGAAGTTGCTTAGAAGGTTGCTCGCATTATTTGAGTTATGATTAGACCCAGCTCTTTTTATGCTATTTGAGCTAGAATGCTGATTTATAATATTTTACTTTTCAAAGTGCTTGCTCTACATGATATTTTCGAATTGATTCAAATTCTTTCCATAAATTGGTTTCATATCCTCATCAGTGGAATTTCTATCGTTGTAAAGCTCACTGTTTTACGATCTTTACAGTATAAGTTTATCATCCTTATTCGCTGGCTTTGAAGGATTATTATTAGGTGTAGATGACATTATCTTATTAAACTTTGTCTATTAAACTCCATTATTCTTTTTCACTAATTAGTGCTAATGTTTAGGTGGCTTAGAAGCTGCATTTTTTAGGTTTAATTTACTTGTTTGAGATTTCCAAATGTTATTTCTTTCCTTTTAGCTAATATCAAGGGTCCTTGACGGTGGCACATAGAATAGATTTTCAGTGCTTTTCTTATAGATCTCCTCAAACTCGTTCTTGACTTCCTTTGAATCTTTCTTTCCTGAAAGCTAATTAGAGAGTATAGGAGTATGCCTGAAACTTCTAAAGTCTTTAGTGCTGATATTATTGAGATTAAATACAATTTGATTTGTTGAGTTGTCATCTTAGGATTCAAGCGCATTGCGAGTTTCATTCGGAGCTTCAAGTGGACTGAAACTTTATGAATTTGCAGCGAAAGTTTATCTATTAAATCCAAGATCAACACTGGTCTTATAGTTTAGCTACTATTCTTGAATGATCTGTGAATTATTGTTTGAATCGTTTTTGTCAAGAAGTTTGACTGTCTTTTAGCCACTATTGTGGTTTGAGCTGATTTGTCTTAAGTTATTTTGGTAACTTATAGATCTCATTCTATTAATCAAATAAGTGTCTTAGATTTGCATACCTTTGACTCTTGGCTGCTATCTTTGACTTAATTAACCTTCTACCTGCTTGTAGTCAAATTTAATTTATGCTTTTTCTATGTGGGTAGTTGTGATGCTCTTTTTATTTAAATTTTAAGGGGACATTTCTGTCATGCTCTTCATATCTTCTTCATTGAAAATGAAAAACCCACTACCATTTAAGGTTCTGTTCCTTTCGTTTTTAAATAGGGCTTTTTTTTCTTCATGCAATAATTTTTTGGGACTAACACTGACTTATCTTTATGAGAGATTCTCAGGTGGCATTTAATTCTTTTTACTTGAACCTAGGTTCCATAGATTTGCAAGGAAAGAGTTGTTGTTCTTTCTATCTCTTTTAGGTTAATCTTTTTCCGAAGGATTAATTGACTATTATACATGAAATGTCTAGCTTCTGGCTGCCCTATTCTGAACTCTCGATTGATTATTTTTCTTATTAATTTCAGGAGAGTCATCTTAATGCTTTTCTTAGACAAGAGGATTTGGAGTCATCAAAGCTTGTCTTCCTACACTATGTGAGCTTAGTGCAGCAGGCCTTGTTTGTGATTTCGATTTAACTTAATTAGGATTAAATGTACTTTCGAATGTTTTCTTTACACTTGAAAAGGTTTTCTTAAAAAATCCGAGCAAGCCAGTTCCATCTTTCTCTTCTGATGAATTTTCATTAGATTCCTCTTCTATCAGCTTATCAGGATTGATAATCTTACTATCTTCAGATATCTGGCCGTCGTCTTCTATTTTTATATGCTATGCTGTCATGCATAAATTACTTTTAGATAGTTCGCTTTCCATTTGCAAATTGATCTTAGTCCCATTATTTTATGGAGTAGCTTGCACTGTGAAATACTCAGCTAGTTATAGCTAATTGAACTTTTACTAATGATTATTGTTGGGAGGCCCCAATGTATTGATATCGCTAATAAAGTCTTAATTCTGTTTCGACTTATTTTTGTTCATTTATGCTTTATCTCGATGAAATTCATACATGCTATCCTAACCCTTACTGAATCGTTTTTAAATAAGCTAAGTAGGATCAAAGGATGTCATTTTAATTATCTTGTTATGGTTGAGTTACTAGATCAAACCAAAGTTACTTTTATTCTTTGAATTATATTTATCATGGGCTGCCTCTATTTTCAATGATTTTTCGTATATCAAGTAGCATTTACTGATGGAATAACTAATATTTCTATCGTTAAACTTATGCATTAATCCTGAAATCATGTTATCTTGCATAGCTCTAACTGATTGCAAGTTTTCTTTTGACAGTTTTCTAGTGCATTCTTTGAAAAATCTAATTGAAGCATCACTAAGATTTCCCTATTCTTCGTAATAAGCCTACTCTATGAAGTTGATGAAGGCTTAAGTTCTGACAAATTTTTCGAAAAATGACTAATTTTCCCTCACATTTTACACATATTCATCAAAGTTGAAAATGTCGTTAGCTGAACCATTGTTCGAGAATGCATTAGCATTAGGTTATCTTGAGGAATCAAGAGTTGAATCAGCAGTCCTATTTCCAATAGTCTGATTTGCATGATTATGGTTTGGTGACTCTCCCTTTTTAACGTAGAAATTCTCAAAAGTATTGATCAGAAATATAAGAAAGTTTAGAAATTACTGTTTCACTTTTAGAGTAAAATTATTCCAAAATCTTTCTTCCTCTCTTTGCATCTCAAAGGACTAGTTTTACCCTCCTCTATTAGACATCTACTTGCTTTTGTCTAGTTGAATTTCAAGCTATTTAATCAGAAGTTGAGTATAGGGCTATGGAAAGTCGGGTAATTCCTCTTTCTCGTAGACTTTGTTATTATCAATGTCGAAAGCTACAACCTCTTCACCAAGAATATCCCATTTTTACTCGTAAATATGTTTCCAGAGTTCTCTCGGTACTCCAACTATGTAAGGGAAAGGCGCCTCAAGATATTCAACCATACTAGGAATCATGTATGATATATTAGTGAAATTCCATTGTAAGGGATAGAGTAAACTGATTAGTGTTTCAATTAATATTGCATTTTTGCTACCCTCATTATGGATTAATATTATTTTTCTTTCATGCAAAAGTGAAACAAACATTTGCATCAGCATCTTAGGTCTTACTTTCTAAAAGAGTAACTTGAAATCATAGTTCTCCAGTCTCAAGCATTCCTTGTTGAATGTATTTATGTATCTTATTATAGTTTATTTGTACTATCCATCACTAGATGGACTCTAAGGACTCAAAGTGTCATTTAATGAAGATGATTTTTTATATATTTCTATCTCCAAATTAGATCCATCAATTTTCAAATGATGAAAGAATGTTGAAAGATAAAACTCTAATCTTTCGATTTTAGTTTACTATCTAGCTTTTGAAAGTTTCTGCTCAATAATAGAAAAGTCATCAGCATCTTAGTATTCCTCATTAAATAATTTATGGTACTTAAGTATTATATCCTCATAAATAAATTCTAGCATCTACCTTTTCAGTGATGAACAAAAATAATATACCTTTAAATAGAGAAAAGTGGCAGTTTTGAGACTATGCAAAGACACTTTGGCA